AAAAAAAAAAAATTCTTTTTAGAAAACTGAAGTTTCTTTTTATCCCCCCCCCCCCCCCCGCATCCCCCCAAGCAGGAACAATGCTAATGTTAATTCCCTTTCATGCTATGCTTCTATTTTAGATCACCAGTTAATTTAAAAGATTGAGCGCTCTCAATTTTACAATTGCTAAGCATGTTTTCTTTTTAGGTCCAAGAGTCAAAATGTAACTACTGTATCTATGTTGAGCAGCTGACTGCAATACACAATTTTACCTAAATACAAACACAATCTTTTACTGTGTACCTCTGTTATTTTTGGCACAAGAATGAAATCATTTCTCTCAGTAAATTGAACAGCTAAGTCAGAATAAGACAAGCGGGCCTTCCTTAGCCAGTGCTTTATATTGAAAGGAATGTATTTTAGGGCTGGACTCAGATGTGGCAAGATTGTCAGTATTTATTTAGGGTTTTAAAACCTTTTTCTTCTACAGCAATACTACATATTTCACAGTGGTGTTTATATCTGCAAGGTAAGAATAGTTACTAGAATTTCTGGAAGGTCAGACGTTTTGAAGCAATGATAAGTCAGCTGGGTAAGGTAAAGAAAGAAAATGCTGTCCGTAGTCATTTGCAATCACTTCTTCTAGAGAACTAATGTTTCTGCTTATGTCCTGGAAAGTTCTCATCTGTACTGACCTTTAGCCAATAACACTGGTAAATCTTTTATTCTAATTTCTGAAAAAGTTTTGTTCCTCAGATAAAAGCTGGTGACTTCTTTCAGCTATTATTACTTCAGGAATGGGGTGATCTTTTTCTGAAAACTGAAAAAGGTTTAGATTTTGCAGATAGCAATACGTGGGGGATAGGAGTAGCCTGTTTTGCTGAGCTCAACAAAATCCTGGGTTTTGATGAAAAGAAATTTTGTAAGATGAAAACAGTTTCTCAAAACAAGCAAGTGTAATGAAGACTGCTCACCTTCCTGCCCAGATGTTCTTTACCAGTTGTCTTAACTGAGACATAGTATCGCTGCGCATAATAAAACAGATAGGTTTATCTTATCTATCTAGTGGCAACTGTTCTTTGATTATGACAATATGTAGCCATAGTCTGTAAATCCATTTTTGAAAAGTTCGAAGACATAGTCCTGTTCAATCAATAGCATTAGGATGCGTAAACAGGAATATGTATTTTTTATCTCGAGGGCCTTGTTAAACGTGAAGGTGTGTGCACGCAGCTTTTTGTTGGTTTGTTTTCTTTCCCCCCGCAATGGCCGTTTTCAAGGTCCTGTCATACAAGCATTGTTACGCTTCTGCAGGGAATTATAGTACTTTTCGGCAAATAGCTTCATTTCTTTACTGATCAGACTTGCACTCTTGGCTACTAACAGTAATCAGAGCTAGGGAATAGCAAACTTTGGTCTCTCATGGAAAGCAAACAAGGTCAGCTCAAACTTGCACGTTCTGTTGCTGTTATTCCCTCAAAATGTAATATTTTGTCAACTTACAGTGAGAAATCATTTGATACTAATCAGTCATGATTCAATTTTTATGTAATGGAAATAGACAAAGCAAAACCAAGCAATATATTTTCTTCTATTATTGCCCCTGTAAAGCTAATACTTGTTACCTTGGAGTAGTCTAATATTAGACTTTCAATTATTTCACATCTCTGGAAATAAAACTGATCGTTTTCATATGTGCCTTCACCTAGCTGTACTGCTATAAATCTTCTGCAGGCAATTATTGTGAGCACAGGCATTTCCCGAAAGTTACTGAATTATGCACAGATGTAAGCAGATGTATTCCTATTCATACAGTAAGTGAAATGGAGTAACTTAGCATAATCACATTAGGTAAAACTGCCAATAGAGCATATAATAAAGCATGTCACTCTAGGGGCAAAATTCTAATTTCAATTCTTCTGGCATAAATACTGTGATTTTGTGGTTTTGCAAGTTTTATGTGAAACTTATTAGATTTTTGACTCTGACCTGTTCATTACAGTTTGTGAGAACAATCTGCTTAGAGGTATGTACTTTTATTTTTATTCTATATATATTAAGTCTGTGTGGGGATACCTACCATTTGTTGCATAACAGGCTTGTATTACGTATTCCAACAATTATTTTCCTTCCTTGTTTCCAGTTTATTCTCTGCTTCAGCTTTTACCAATGGGAACCGATGACTTACGGAGCTTACCACTATCCAGGCTGGTCCATGGTGCTCGGATGGCTGATGCTGGCCTGCTCGGTTATTTGGATCCCAATTATGTTTGTGATAAAAATGCATCTAGCACCAGGCAAATTTATTGAGGTAATTCCTTTGTCTTTTTTCTGCTTAAAAATATGGTCACAGGAGACTCTCTTATTTTGCACTGATTTTTTTTTTTGTGATATTGAATGGCTAATGGTGCTAAGACTAGTTTCTGGTGAACTAGTTTTTGTGTTGCAGAGAGATGCTCGGCTGATTTAAAATGCAGCCCTTCTATGCCCTGTTTCTCAGCTAAATGCTCCTAAACTGTTTAGTGATTGAGTTTATGAGAACTAGAGGAGCTGCAAATTTCATAAGCCCTGGAACGGTGTCACTATTAAAGAGCTGTTTTCCTAGCTTTCTTGGCCTCTTTTGCAAAAGCAGCGTGTGGCCATCGGAAGCATCAAGTGTTGGTGCGTACCGCGTGTTAGCAAGCCTGACAGCCAGTGCTAGGAGACATCAATTGCGAGCCCCCTGACTGCAAAAAGCCAGACCATCAGGTACCCACGTCACCTTAGGTGGCTTCCAGAAAGTTTTGCCATTTCATGCAGTTCAACAATTAGAAATAAGGAAAGACCTCATGTTCTACTGTTCAAGCTACATACTGTAAAACTTGGCTGACAATCTTTGTTTTTTTCCCCCTTCTTTTCAGGTCTTTTTAGGTCTTTTTTTTTCTTGAATAAACTGATCCTCTCTGGCATCTGGGCTTAAAAATGCTGGGTGGCACTTTGTTTTTATTCTGCTTTT